TCATGTTTAGATGGTGACACCAATACTGTGTCCTTTCACTGCACTTCAGCTTATTATTAGCATTTCATCCTCCTAGCTTTTCCAATAAGAATCAATCCCATGACCAGGGCCACAGCCAGTAATATAAAAACACTCATGAATCCAAAACACACAAGCTCTGCTTCAATACCCACAAAAAAACAAAAAAAATTCCCCCATTTTATTAATTCATGTAACTGTTCAATTATGTTTTCTATAAATCTTCAGTCTCCCTAAATGCTGTCAAAACCTTCTCCACGCACCTGGATATAAATATATGGGGATAAATACTAAACTACATGTTGATTGCATTTTTCTGTATCTAAAAACAAGATATTTTCTTATTTGTCTGAAGAAAATATCAGAATCAGATCATTAAATTCCCACACACAATAGTGAGGACATGAAGTGTGTTTTCTTTTTGTTTGCTCCGGCCCTGACATAAAATGTGTCAAGAAGGTATTTAAAATTGCAGAGCAGCCTCAGACACCTTTACACTGTCTTCTCTCCCTCATCACAACATATCAAAAGTTATAATATTTACTCTCCTGGAGAAAAAACCCAGACCTTTCTTACGGGACTGAACCTTTGCCCCCTGCTTCATCTAATCTGCCACATCTACAATAGATGACCATACAGCTTGCTTCATTTACATGTAATTATATTCTGATTTGCTATTCTTCCAGCCCACAATCAAAAGGCACATTCGCCACTCTAAATTACAACGCTGACGACATGTCAGTCACAGATTTGCATATGGAGGCATGGTTCCTGTGCCAAGGGCAACTCAGTGGAAGGTTGTGGAGACAGAATCAGATCGCTGGACGGTTCTGTAATGTTCTAGGATCAGTTGTGTGACTATTAAGCCTCTGGGGCCCTCATGTGGCCTTTGAAGGTAATGCTCCCCCAGGTTTGTCAAAGGCTTAAAACCTCAAGAACAAATATTAGTCACTGGTTTGATACAGATGATAAATTTAAGAAAATATCTGAATAATTGATTAAATAACAACTGAAGATGCTTCCATTCAGGGTACCAGGGGTCACTAAACATTTTATTGTTCAGTATGATAATTATGTAAATCCTATACTGTGGATTTGACAGTCACTGATCCGGATTAGAACCAAACAGGGACCCACTTTTTAAAAATGACAAACCATGGTGACTCAATTCACAATGAGAGCAGATTTGTGCATAAATTAACATTCCTGACCATTTTTACTGCTATTTCTGCATCACATTTTCTTGAACAGGTAAAGCACTATTCACTACTTGGGTTTATTGAACATAATATGAAATATCAATCACTTAGTTAGTGATTCTCAATCTACTAAATGACAGAAAAGGTATCCCTTGAGGAAAAAGGTTGTGTTAGAATGTACACTCACTTCATAAACGAGACAATTTAAGTGCATTTAGCAGGAGTTAAGGATCTAGTTTTTTTTATCATCAATGTACAGAGATGATATGGCTAATATAAAAGACTGAGCAATGTGGATTGTCCATGCACTAGACTATTGCAACTATAGCCAATTTGTACATAAGTTGTCCTCCAGGCAAGGAATAATGAGGCAGATGTAAAATGACAACATCTACGTATCCTAATTTCAGGATGTCTCCTATCAATTGAAATTATAAGAATGCATCTGTGACAAAGGGCCCTGAAAATATGACATCAGAAAAAAGTGTTCTTGCCCCAGGTTAGTGGTAAGTTGATCCAAGTCAGTGGGTAAGTTGATTATCTGACTTTTCAGGTTTAAATCTGAGCATAATTCAAAAAGCAATTTACCTCTTTACTATGTATTTTCTTAAAGCTAACTTAAAAATGTAAAAATGCAAAACATTTCTGTTAAATGATCATTCATTCATCAAAAGAATCTAGACAATGATATAATTAAATTCCACCCTTGACATCAAGGTTACTTCAAGGTTTATGTTAAGTTTATGTGATACCCTCAGCTTATTCTACTAAACCAACAACCCTTGAGAAGTACAGCACTAAATTGGACAGCGGATACACCACATCCCATGTCTTTGACATATGCCACTGGCTTCTCAACTGTCCAACTGTGTCAAACCTTTCCTTTGTCATCAGTGCTGTTTGTGATTGTCATGGACAGAATCCAGTTTAGAATCAGAATCAGAATCAGAATTTTGTTTATTGCCAAGTAGGTTTTCACGCCTACGAGGAATGTGTCCTGG